ACAGAGCATGTTTTCCTCTGTATGTTATGCTCCAGGTTTTTACATCTCAAACAGGTGGCTTTGGTGGTAGGGAACCTGTGAGTCTACACTACCACCTTAAAGGACAGTGCAGAGATTAAATCGGTCTCTGTTGATGCGGTGTCAACTAATCTTTAAAAGTGATTCATGTACATGGTTGGTAGGAGATTTGTTATATAAAATTGACTGTGTTTCTTTTTCATTAAACATTTGGAATATGCTCTTGGACATACCCACAACACAAACATACCCACATGTTCTTTCCTTCCCCTTTCACTTCTGTCGACTGTTAGTTTCATTTACTTCAGGTGATGTTGGTTGTAATCACTTTCTTGCAGGGCATGGAACAGGGAAGGGCCATGGCCAAAGTAATGAAATCTGTAGTAGTTGTAGTTATTTCAAGTTCTTAAAGGAGGGAAAAAAGGAACTGCTAATGCATGGGTGTATCATCAGGTGGACTGTGTTTTCAGACACATTTTTGTGTGTGTAAAAATGACTAGACTGATTTTCATTACTTGGTGCAGATTCCTCTCAATTTTTAGTAATGCTAATCAGCACTGGGGCTTGGGGTGAAAACACTGTGAAACTGAAAGTTGGAGCGCAGATCCTTCTCGAAGGGAGAGTAGATTTTAATTAAAATTTGATTATCTTTTTGGTGCCTGTGTGGATGCAGTCATATGTCAGGTGCATGTGGACTGGTTTTCCAAGTGTGTGTATTGATAGAGCTGTGTGTTACAGAGCAAGAAGTTGTCTTGATATATATGGGCATATTAGTTTGTGCAGTGCTCTGTACCAGACTCTAAATTAATAGCAACACAAAAATTTCGTAGATGAATATTGGATATATGTGACAGAGAACAGTGAAGGCTTTTTTGAGAAGGCTTAGTAAGATCTTGTTCACTTTTCTCCTAGTCTTTATTGCTGTCTAGACATGTACTTTTTCTTTCTTTTTGTCCAGCAGATACCACTGCATTTTCCCTGTTAAAACTTCCAGGGCAAAATAAAATCATGTCAGTGTGCAGGTCTTGTGTGGAGCAGAGTTAATTCATTAGAGTACTAAAGGCTAATTATGTACTGAAACAAGCAGTACTGCCCTTTGATAGGAAACGCTCTGGGTGGCAAAGCAAGTTCCATGTGCTTATTGTGGTACTAAGCAGGAGTGTGAGTGCAAGGTGGGAGGTTAGCAAGTGCAGCATGCACCATGACTTTCTTATTCTTAGGCAAAAGGGAGAAAAGGAAGATAACATTTTAATTAACAGAACCTCTCTGTCTCTCCTGTCATAAATGTAGGTTAGCAGGGGAGTATGTGTAAAACAAAGTCCAGTTCCAGAAGTGTCCTATTAGGTTCAGTGCTGAAATTGGTTTGTGAAAATGGTGCGTGTCCTTCTCATGCAATGTAAGTCAGTGTTGCAGGTTACCAGTTTCTGTTAGCATGGGGCCTGCCAAACCAAGGTACTGCCTGGTCCCCAGGGTCTACACATGATGAGACAAGGCAGTAAAATCTGGCTCTCCTTCCAGGTAGCTTATAGCCTAAGCAGGAGAGCATATTGGCTGGAGCCTTGTAACTGAGGATGACTACCCTGTCTTTAATTAAGGACACATAGGGAGATATTGGCAGGGAGCAAAGAAACTCATCAGACCAAGTGGGCCAGAAAACTGGTTTTTAGAGCAGTGTTTTTATGAGGCTGTGAAGGACAGAGGCAAATCCTTCACAAAAGGCAAGCACTCATTGTGAATATTGCCTGTTCATAATGCTGGATCCAGGCAATGGATGTCAGGCAGGTGATAGTCGTGGGTGCTGTGTGTAAGGAGAGTTGAGATAGTTTCTTCTGTGCTTGCATGTACAACAAGGTACATGGAAAACTTGTTAGAAATAGGCTGAAACCTTAGTTTGTACAGGTGAGAGATCTGAAAGTTGGCAACCTAGAGGTGTCAGGTGATGTTTTTGAAATTACCTGAGAATGGATGTAGAGGTCCTGTAGGATGAAAGCTGATAAGACTTCTGTCTCTTCAGGGGTAGTTGAGAGAGTGAAGACTGAGGTATAGATATGTACATAGGGAGGGAGGGGGAGAAAAATAGTCAGCAGTGTTGAAGGTAGCTTAGAGAATGAGATGCTGTATTGGTTGTGAGGTGCCATCGTGAAGGGATCAGTGGAAACCTTGGGAAGAGATTCAGT